TGCCATGACTTGCCAATGTTGAACATAAAATCACTCTCCGAACAGCAATGAACAGCATCAGTGTATTTGCCAGGTGCCTGGATGGAAAGGCCGGATCGGAGTCAGAACCTCGGATGTGGAATGTGCAGTATGTAGATAGAGATGAAGATATGGAATATAGAACATTTTAGATAATTATGGATACAGATGTATGTTGATATTTTTTTGATATATTTTGAGATTATATTATTGTATAAATGTCAGTAGATGCTCATGTTGCCTGGTTTGTTTCGATCTTTTGATACCTGGAGCCGATACTGAGCTCCCATTGACAACGCATGCTGCATGACATGGTCATATCATGTAGTTGCATTATTTGTTCATTCGGAATCGCAGCCAACGAAAGTTGCAGCTTGAGAGCAGACCGCTTATTTTCACATCATGATAGTCACATACAGTCGGAATAAAAGCGAGGTAAAGCAAGGCTTTACAGCAAGCCCAACGCTACAAGTCATAGTAACTCCACATGCCGACCCGGCAAGCTACGGCATGGCTGACAGCACGGCTGAAGGTCATCTCCAGCATGACAGATGCTTTTTGTGGTGGCTGCAATCGTCTCCGCGTGACTGCGGCTGGTAAGGGCTTCTCAGAGCTGGCGAGCATTGTCGTATAACGAGCATTCTCCGGAAATGTGATGTCAAGTGGAGAACTTTGCTTCAGCACCTTTTCAACCGGGACCTTCCAAATCCTCAAAAATATCATTGAACTTCGGAGTTGACTATGTTTTGCGCACAAACGATGGATAATACACGCAAACGCTCAAGTTAAATGAATCTAATTACTGATATCACTGATATCTACTGTAAATGTGCAATCTGGACACACAGAAGGCCCAAAAAACGTCAAGGATTACCCGCACAAAAAGAAAAACATCAAAAAAAAACGGACAAAATCACGCAAAATTATATAAAACGTAGATTTGAATTAGACTTCCGTGGATAGGCTGCGAAACGCTGAAATCGATTGAATCTCCTAAAAACGGAATTCACTGAATATGTTCAGGAGTTGAAAGGTAGATGAAAGGTCTTTCTTTCATGGTGTCTTTCTGCGAATGCTTTTCATATGTCATCATTCAAGGAATGAGTTCATCGATTCTCATCGGGAAGCGGTCTAGCATGCTGTGAGGTGAACTGCGCAACTGCCTTTTCGGCGAGGAAGGCCGAGTTCTGACTTTGGGATCTACAAACGCCAATGCTACTTGTACATTTGAATACATTTTCCAGGTCCTGCAAAGCTATGAGAACCTTCAAGTAGGACAAGTGCTGATCAACATCCTACCCTTTATATCCTTTATTATATCCTTTATAAGGGAAACACCTCATGGGTTGGGTTGGGTGATCGATCAGCTGGATAGCTGGGGCTGACGGGGCATGTCTCCAGGTTGGAGCCTCCTCGAAAAAATTCGGAACGGGGCTTCAGATGAAGCCTTGGTGTCCCAAGTTGGAGATGCCGTCCAGAGGCACTGCTGAACGTCAGTGAATTTTCAGTGTTTGTGGCAATGTTGCGTAATGTTGCGTAGGTGTAACAGTAACAAGCTGCGAGGCATTCCAGTAAGACATTCTTTGGACTTTAGGGGATAAAGCCAGGCAAGGAGAAGGAAATCCTTGAAGCTTGCTAATGAAGGTAATGAAGTGAGAGTCCGGAACAATTTTCAGCTCGGGGCATGAGACAGGGCTTCTGATACTCTGTCGTTGCGGCTACTGCAGGAAGCACTCCAAACTGGGCGGAAAACGAGACATGTTTGAGCTCCGGGAACGCGGTGACAAGGCACTTGGGTGTTGTTTGGTGTTGTGCTATGTGCAACTAACATCAATTTAGAAGTCGTTCAAGTAGTAAGTAGGCACAACTTCGAGATGAACAGTGCACCGTAATCTAGAAACGTCCTGGCAACCAAGTGTAATTCCCTTGGCCTTGGAAAAATGTACAGAGCACAACAAACTATGCATGTTTTGAAACAACATGTTTATGAGGATGCCACCTGATCAGTCCAAACTTTTCGACATGCATACTCTGTAGACCTGGAACATTGACAACGAGGGTGTTTCACAAATGTTGTGTAGTGATGCGTACAGTAGTGTATCGTAGTGTCAAGAACATGTTCTTGACATCGCGGATGCAAAATGTTTCATTAATGCAGTCCCATGCAGTCCCAGTAGCTTCCAGACGAAGTTTGCACTTCGAGTACCAGGCATTGATAGGCATTGTACAGCGTTGTTTGTTTGATAGAGCCAGTTTTCATCCTTGGATTCGCCCGCATACTGTATTGATTTGCCCTGCCTCCAGCTTGGAACCCAAAGGTGATGATCATGATATATCATGATGGATCATGATGGTAGTGTCGTGAAATATACAGTACTGAGTACTGGGTGTTCCTCTGTGTTCTGACAGACTCGCCAGCACAAGGCTTTGCCTATGATTGCTTTGGGTGGCTGATACGGTCCAAAGACGCCGTACAGACGGCGAATGGCAAGAAAAGGAATGATGCATAGGAGCATGATTTGTGAACTTTTAGCAAGTGCAACCATGCAGCCCAGTATAGGAAGAGGCAGAGAAGAGAAGAGCAGAAGAGAGAAGATCAGAGAAGAGAAAGAGTCAGAGGAAAGAAGATGCAGGTGCGCGAAAAGGTAGCAAAGTCGCGAAACACTGTGTTTTTCCATGATTTGTCGCTCCGGAGGGTCGAAAAGTAGGCTCGCTAAAGCGGCGGGTGCGGAGCCATTTGGTCAGATGAGAAATTAAAAGCTGCACGCCGTTGTGGCGCGAAGCACATTTCGATGTCAAAATGTACAAAACAACACACCATGAGCGTACTGTACTGTAGTTGTACTTGTAGTTGCAGTTGCAGTTGTAGTTGTAGTGTAGTGTAATTGAGTGTAGTGTAGTGTAGTGAAGTGAAGCGGAGGGAAGTGGAGTGTAGCTAGTGTAGTGTTGTGTTGTGTAGTGTAGTGTAGTGTAGTGTAGGGTAACTAGTGTAACTAGTGTAGCTAGTGTAACTGCAACTACACTACACTACACGACACCAATTACATTACACTACACTGCACCACACTACACCACACTACACTGCTCTGCACTACACTACACTAACTACAACTACAACTACAACTACAGCTGCACTACACCACACTACATCCAGCAGTTGTGGATGAGGTGACCTACCAGGTGACCACTGCAACCGTTGTAACCACTCCAAAAAACACAACTCCAACCACCTTTCAGTCCATCAGTGGATTCGCTCTGCCATCCGTGATTCACAACAATCAATCTCTCCTATAGGCTTCCTGTTTTTGAAACTTCCGCCACCACCTTGTGCGGAACTACTGGTGTATTGTATTTACATATATTTACAGTATAGTATATATATAGTACGTTGACTGTATGTTGTTGCCAATCAAGCAAGCAAGAACAGTCAAATCACGCGGAAGATGTTCACATTTTATCACCAGTCATTCCACTTGCCAGTGGCCGGTGGAGTCGCTGTGGCGAATTTTCCAATGTGTTGAGTGCAGTGATTAGTGAGCATCGCGAACAACTGCGGTGTGGCCAAGTTTGCGCTGCTTGTCCTGCCAGAGGTTGGACTTGTTTCGCACTCGGCGGTGTGTTCCGCAACGAGACTGTCATCACTGGAATCAATCGAACCTACATGGCATGCCCAAGGGATTGCGAATATGTGTCATAAATTGTTAGAACATGTTAGAAAACCTTGGTTCCATTAAGCGCGTTGCTCTTAAACCCGGAAGAGTGGAGATTGCTCTTTTATCATCGTCCAAAGGTCGTGAAACCAAACAATATGCTGTTGTATCATTCTCAGTGTGGATCTCTTCAACAGAGATTTAGACGTGTAATTCTGTGCTGTTTGTGACACTCCCAAATCACAGCAATGAGGCTGATAGACGGCTTGCAGCTTTTAAATTGAGGCCAGTGAGGTGTCCATCATTTCTTGGGACCACGACATGCTTAGTGCACACTGAAGCTCAGCCCAAAGCACTCGCTATATTCTATTCTGGTATCATGCGTTGGCATGGTCGAAACTCAGAATTCGGAATGGTAGGAAGTAGGGGGGTTAGATTTTTTGTGCTAGCTAGTTTGAGAGCAACTAAGGCATGTCGTGGCAACAGCGTTTGTCACGCCCTTTTCCTTAGATGCTCAAGAACTCCATGTTCCATATGATTTGAAACTGGAGAGTCTGATGTAGCTCCCCCTTGCCAAACCGCTCTAAAACGGATGTGAAGCAACAACACATAACAACACATTTCCTTCCAAGTGTGAAAGACAAGTAAGTTCATTGCGCAAGCTACTTGAACAGCAGGGAAAGCAAAAAGATGCCGACATTTGCACAATCTCTGTGCGAGCATGTTTGGTGCCAAGAATCGCCCAGAAAGTAGCGTTCGGTTTGTTGGCCACAAAACTTGAGACGCAAAGTGAAAAGATGCTGTGACCTGCAGTTGGATGGCTTCCTGCCACAAAGATGAATTATCCGCACAGGGCAAAGCAGTCACGTGGCGATAGTTGCTTGAAGGTCTCACAATACACATGGGATCGAACATTGCCTTCAGATCCTGTATAGTAAAGGGTCCTTAATCATGGGATATGATTCAATGATGGGTCATTCTAGGGTTTGCTGCAGGATGGTTATAATGGTGTGCATTGCTGCTGCCGCTGCTGCTTCTACTGCTGTTGTTGGATGTTGAGTTGAAGCAGTTTGACATGGGAAGGGTTGGGGTGGCATCCTGCCTGCCAGCCGGAAACAGGAGCTTGGAGCCACGCACTGGAAGATCAGATGAGCCACCATGACTAGTAACACTATTGGGGGCGACAGTGCATAACCTAGCTGGAAGCCAAGAAGAAGAAAAGGCTAGACCTGAAGTAGCACAACCAAACACAATCCTGGATGATTAGAATTAGAACTATATAGATTGTGATACTTGCCTACAATATGTTGATCCAAATCCTTTCCAACCTACCTCTGGACGCCACGGTTGTGCCCACGTTGCTACGATGGGACTCAGCAACATGGACAGCCAACTCACTGCAAAGCACCCAGTCTCAACTAAGAGGGTTGGATTTGTCAGCCATAGGTTTGTTTCTTGACCTTGTCCTTGATTGAACAAAGTCTCTTGGTTTGTTGCCGCAACCAGTGCACCGGCATATACTGGAGTGCAAGTGCCGGCGCACAGGATTTATGCAATGCATTACATACTTTGATTTAGGAATAAGTCAAAACGGCGCCTGAATCACATGTTGGTGCCTGAGTGGATTCCTCCATCGATTTTATTGTATGATCATTGGATAGGTTACTCAGAATGTTCACTCCCCGAGAGTTTGGTTGTTTGTCTCCGCACTTTGGCGTGCTACTGCATTTTGGATCTCCATTTTCATGGTGAACCTGGCATAGTCAAAACATGTCAAAACCCCACTCCAGGAATGAATCTGAGCACGTTTAGTACGGTGGAATATCAATATCATTATCATTTAATCAACCAGTGCCACTGGAGAGCCGCGATTGGAAGTACGATTGGATGTACCTGTGCAGCCGACTTCCTTGGACGAGGTTGCAAGAGCTCCTGGCCAACAATTCAGAGCTCAGCTACAGACAGGCGGCGGGATGTGGCAGGTGAGACGTTGGGGTTTGTTAAATATGGCTCCGGTGTAGCTCTGAGGATTAGCCAAAAATCTAAATTGATCTAAATTGATCAAATGGCTGAGCATGAAGTTTGTTATCATGTTATCATACATTTCGGGATGGTCTCTAATCCAAGCGTCTCTTAGACTCTTAGCCTGGTTCTAGTACAGCAAGCAATTTGTGATTTTAATAGCAACAGGATTTTGGCAGCCTGCATCGGATGTCTCCCTGGGTAACCATTGTAAGAGCCTAAAACTCTTTCTCTGTTCCTTCTCGAGGTAATTTGATGAAATTTGTGTAGACCGTTCTATTCTTCTAGGACCTGTTGCAGGTGCATGAGAAGCTTCAAAGCGAAGAGGCTTTCAAGGACGTGCTGCCCACCATAAACATGCGTCAAGAAAATCGTACGGTGCTACTATTTCCTGCCCTTGGTCGGGGCCATACGGAAGTTTTTCTTCTACAAGATATTCTCGCAAAGCCATTAGTCAGCAAGCAGCCAAAGCCATTTGTCCAGCTGACAACCCTTTGAGGAGGTGGGTTTCAAGAAAGTTCAGAAGTTGATGCGAGACTTGAAGGGGGATGGTCACGAGACCTGGTAGCGTTTGGCTGTGTGAGTTGAGTGGAGGCAGTAGAGGAGCTACCTATAGAAAGATCATGAAAGATCATGAAAGGTCATGAAAGATCAGCAAGATGCACAAATTGAGTTTGAGGCCTTTCAATACCAGAGCCCTTCTTTTAGCATTTCAGACCTTTGGAATTTGCTCCACATACTGGTCACATACTCCCCAGTTGTCATTACATTTGCTTTGCAAGGAAGGCTACAGCAACGACAACGAAAAGTTCGATAAGGTCGAAGTGCCTTCGCCGTTACCACAAGGGCCACAGGAGGTGGAGGCTGGGTCCGCAGCCATGGATTGTTCCCTTCCCCGCCATATTCTCCTGGAGGCCAAGGTTTGCGAAGGAACTGTTCTAGTTTATTTATGTTTATTTAATGTTTTCTTGTTTCTTGATATTTTCTGTTGATTCCTCGTTGACCTTCCTAGATAGACGGGACATGATGGGTCAATATACATCACAAGGCTCAGGTTGCTGACATTTGCTGACCTTTGAACAGAACCTTCAACTCCTGCCAAAGCTGGATATTTACATCATGTTTATTTATTCATTTTTGTGCCCTGGTGCTGCCAGATTTGCATTAGCAGACCTGACATTTCCCAAAAGTTTGGCATGATGATTGTTTCTCGGTTGCACGCAGCTATTCTCGGATGATACTTCGCACTGACCGCGTCACAGGGTGGAATTGCAATCACAAGTATTCACAAGTTGGTTTGTGTGCGTTCAAGCACCAACGAGGCCGCTGATTGCGTTGTGCGATTGGCTTCAATTTTTAAGTCACAGGCAGATCTTCAAGCTCTTGGTTCAACAGCTGCACATGTCACATTATTTCGATATACCCCTCATGCCTCTAGACGAATGGAAAGTGATTACAGCACCTTTCTGATCAATGGCTAGGCGACAGATTTTAGAGCACTGATCAGCATAGACATTCCACATCGACATCATTCAACCTATTGATAGACATAGATGCATATGTAGCATATAACAGCACATAGTTGTGAAATGTTGTGAAAGCTTGTTTGTATGCCGATCATGCTGCCTGCCCCGGACGAGTCCTTGAGTGCTGAGGACATTGAGCCAAATTTCGGTGGAGGCCATCGCATTAGCGAAATCAGAGAAGGAGGGCTTGTGGAGGCGGCTTGGTGTCGAGTCCATCACAGGCATACGGGATACAGCAACATGATGATAACATGATGCATGATGTGCAGTGATGTAATATGGCACAAGAATGCACAAGACATTACAAAACTAATGTCATACAAAATCCACGACCAGTGACAATTGCAGACGCATGCTAAGATATCTTGGGTGCATTAATTATTAAGATGATCAAGCGAGTTCCGTATTCAATCAATACATCATGGATCATCATGGTATATCAATGTTTGATGTTGCTTCGCTTCCTGCCTCTTTGAGGCGTGGAATAGAGAGCACCCAGACAATGCCATTCAAGTCAACGACATCCTGATCTCAGTGACACTTGTCAAGAAGCTTCCAGTTGAAGGCCAGCTACTAGACACTGCTGGAATGTTGTACTGCGAAGTCGGGTTGCCTACCTATGCCTACCTCATTCAATCAATACTACTATTGATTGGACCAGGAAGCGTTCGATTCACTTTTTTTTTCGGCCAAGGCATCTCAAAGAATGTAAACCTGATTCCGATGCTCAGGAATGGGAAGATCACGTTCGATGAGATGATGGAGCCGTGTCCTTGTGATTCCTTGTGTGTGCGTGGGTGTGAATGTGGTGATCATTGCAGCTTGTTGGTTTCGGTCGTTGGTTCCTGGCCAAACTGTTGGATGGATCTCTAAAGGCCTGTACATCTTGCAGAGAAACACTAATGGCAGGCACTAGTAGTCGTGAGGTGTCGTGAGTATCAGCTGATGCACACCCTTCTCGCAATCAAAGACATGATGCAGGAGCAGTTCAAAAGTGAGCTGAGCTGCCAGTTGCGACGGAAGGCAATGGAAGGTGCTAATGATTTTCTTCAGCTGGTGGTAAACTTCAGCATCCTTGCAACGCAACAACTGCAACGCTCCCAAACAATCAACAAAGCTTGAGTATCGAACTGGTGTAATAATATTATATCCAGGAACCCCATTCATGTTCTTTCACTTTTCCTTGTCAGATGGTGCCACCCAATTAATTATTTGATTGACCTGCCAACCATGATCAACCATGATCAACGGTGATCAACGGTGATCAACGATGCCTGGGAGGTCTCAAGGTGGATGATTCCGAGGCAAAGAAGGAAGCGTCTGAGTGGGAACGGCGCAGGGCACGCGTCACCGCAGCCTTGGTGCCCGGATTGAAGAAGTGCCTCGCTGCTCCGTTGGGATCGGGGCGACATGGCTAGTGTCGCTGAGTCAACAAGTCCCCAGAAGATCAGCGATCTTTCAGAAAGGCAAAGAAATCAAAGAAAAAAATTCAAGGAGTTTTGATTCAATGGAGTGACGGAAGTCACTCATCACTGAGAACTAGCAAAAGTTTGTTGTGTTTGTTTGTAGGATGCAATTTTAGAGTACAGACTTTTGAGAAAACAAGTTGACAATACTTGGTTTAAATTGTGTGTGTGTGATTCATATGTCAAGCGTGCACAATATTTCGCAACTAATGATTTTTTTCTGACAGCTGTGCCCGAAAGATCCCGAAAGATATGTTCGCAGCAAGTTTCCGCATGAGCTCTCCCGATAGACACTGAGCGAACAATGTAACGAGTGATAGTTGCTCTGCCAGGGTATGCCGCCCCATAATAGACGGATACGACGGATGCGATCCATTTCAGCACACCTGCTATCGCTTCCATGAGTCTGAGGATCATCGATAGTGAGTTTGGTGCTGGCGCAGGGGACCGCCTTGGCCGCATCGAGAAGATGTATCACCGGGTAGGAAGTGCCTTGTCTCAGAGTTTGTATTTTTTATTGTTCGGGCGAGCCGAAGTGAGATGCTTTGTTAGATTCTAGTTAGATTTGTTCACGGCGTCAAGAGAGACCCATTTCCATATATTCATACCGCGGAGCTGATAATCTGGAACCTAGAGGTACAGTATTTTCTACGTGTGGTGTGCATTCCTTGGCACTTTGCCCAGGCAACGACATCTTCAAGGAGGAACTTCCCAGCGGCAGCCGTTTGGCGCCAGGGTATGTGGAGAACCTCACACCGGTGGCCCCGTTTCATGATGTCAAGGAGTGGGAGATCAAAAGTCTGAGAGCGCAAGTGTGCCACCAGTCATTCTCTTGTACACAATTGTGAAATATTCAGAATCTAGATAAAGAAGAAGGATGGATAAATGACGAGGCGCCAAAGCTAGATTTAGGTGACTAAGTGAGTGACTGTGACTAAGTGATGTTGGGGATGCGCTCAAAGGATGGAGACTGTTGCTGCTGTTTGATGCATACACGTGGTGCACTGACTGAATGTGTGTAATGTTCTCATTCGTGTGTGGCAGAAGGGTCTTTTCCCCTCCCTTTGCACTTCAATGCAGGATCATCCATGGTGCGCGGAGCTGCAGAAGCATTGGAAAGGAATCCGACAGGACCGGAAAAAGAAACGAATTGTGAGCATTCATCTTGCGTTCAAAAAGGAGAGCGCATGGATGTAGTAGAAGAACTGAAGAAGTGGCAATTGGCAGTAATGGAATAATTGTCAGCTTCACCAGTTGGAGGCAGTTTGTGTGGCAATGTGACGTGTTGCTGTAGAGTTGCAGTCTTGGATCTACGTAGATCTATGTCGGCCGCATAAAGTGTCAGCTGAGTTTCATGGCACCTGCGATAACATAATTTATCAGGCTCCTTCTAGTTCCAAAAGCAGGAACTGAAGCGAAACTTAGATGAGTCACTTTGGACCGCAGGCTGGGGGGTTGCTAACCTGCAGCAGCAGATTGGCGCAGCTGCCAATCGATTTTGCAGTAAATCCAGTTGAGTGTCCTCAATGAGCCAGCTGAGATTCATTTAGCATTTTATAGCGCTTGAAAATGCTTGAAGTGCAACTTCAATATGTGTACCATAAAATCATTCATGGTCCGTGCCAATTCTGCCTGTGGCAAAAGCATGCACCGACCCCTTCGACCAGGCGCATACCAGAAATCCAATGAAGCCTATGGCAAGGACTGGAAGATCATGGGCGTTCCAACCTGAGCTACATTTCAAATGGTTGGGGTGATACATGGTGGTACAGTACCTGAAATCCGCTTGATGTTCAGTGTCCTCCTTCACCTCTCTGGTTGAAGACATAAATGAATGAAAGGGCAGATTCCATTGATGAATGCATTTGCCTCCACAAATTGCAGTTTTCGATTTTTCGATGATTATGATTTGCGCTGTGTTGCGTGAGCTCAGAGCAGTGGTACCATGGCAATTGCACCGTGTGTGAGGTGCTAACGGAAGACTCGTGGCAAGATGAAAAGCGCTTCAAGGTGACCACAGGCGCCACCCTGGACGGAATGAGAACCTTGCGATTCGTTCGGTTCCAATCCGGCGGGTTTTTGGACCAGGAAATGCCAAAAACCATTTCAATAGAAACAAGGCCGGAAGAAGCTGCCTGGGAGCACTTGCCCCCATGGCCAAGTAGTGCACTTGATGGTCTTGACAATACCTGAAGGTTTGGCGAGTGGCCATGGTGGCAACGAGTGTTTTCAGTACTGGACCAGATGGATCCATGTGAATGATATCATGGAGCATTTGGTACAAACCCGACTGACTCGTGAGAATGATTCATGACTTACATGAGAATCAACGAGCACTTTGGGCTTTGGATTTGGAGTCCCACACTGTATCCACATGAATCCACTTTTATCCGTATCCACAATCCATATCAATCCGTAATCTTCCCTCATCGTCCATCATCTTCAACGAATGCAGTGCGTGCTTGCGCTTGGGACAGGAGCGCTGAAGGAACTCAAGGGCCTGGTGCCTCAGTTCTTGGGCTCGGCTTCGCTGCTAGTTGTCGATAGGATCCAATAGGATCCACTAGGCCTTCTGACAGGATTTGAGATGTCACCCTACGGAACCACAAGCTCCTGCCAGCCAGGAATCAAGCCGTTTGAAGCCTTTTTCGCAAAGATGCCGCCGCGCACAAAGATTGCGCCGCACTCGGATAATTTGATCCTTGGATGCACAGAGTGGTGGTAGTATAAAAGTATCTATATGGCATGGCTCTTGTTCAGGGCCTTCTATTCGCAAGACTCACTTTACTGCTGTGCTCCGCTGTCTCCGCGCTGTGGCAGATCCCTTCAGCTGCAACCGTATCAACAAGTCCTAAGACATGTGTAACTAAGGAACTATGTACTCACCTCGCACTTGGCTGCTCAGATAAATTTAAGCATGACATGTGCAGATCTGGGTCAGCCGACCTGGCATGGAAGCTGCGTGTTGAATAAAGTTCATAGATGAAAGTATACAATATACATAATTGTACATACAAATACTGTAGATGATTGCCTCAGGTCAGTTGCGCAGGTTGGAAATCAATTTCGAAGATTGCAAACTAGGTAGAACGATTCTACGCTGCAGGCTCTGAATAGAACAGTGCGTTTATACACGTTTCTTTTTCCTCATCTTTCCTCCATAGACAAGTTGGCAGTGAGCGACGCATGACAAGACTTATATAATAAGCATATCACAAAGCCGTCAGTTGGATGGCATTTGTAGTGATGTCAGTGGATGGCAGGATGGAGATTGTAAGTGTGTGTGTGTGTCCACTCTTTGCTCAAGTAGCAAAGCGTGATGTCATGAGGCTTTAGAACTCGAAGAAGGCAAGTGCTCCATCACAGTGGGCAACGAGGACAGAATATGACAATATGACCCTGTAATACCCTGTATTAGGATGAACTTGATGTTGTTTGATGCAGCGATGCTGGCTCCTGCTCTGTTAGTGCATGCTAGCACACATTGGGCCATCAGACATCCAAGTATGCGTTGTATAGGTGCAGGCCGTGATCTAAATACTTGACTATGACTATGTGCGTCTAAAGCTTGCATGCTTGGCAAGGGCATTTGTTTGCTTTTGTCCCGCTTCTGCCCATACTGAACTGCAACCCTCTTTTGTGCACTTACTCTGAATGTCTCTGGCATTGATGAACTTGTGGTGCTCACAGAGGAGGAATGACTTCCGCTGCATTGAAAGCCTACTGAAACGTCTTCAACTGTATGGCTTGTGACTTTCAGACTGAATGAGGGATTCACACTCAAAGACAAGCTGTCATGATGGCACATCTTTGCTTTACTCCCTATTCATAGAAGCTGGCTGCAAACCTGCAGGAGAAATATTGGAAGGAAGGTGAGATGCTAATCCTGGACACCACCTTCATTCATTCCACAAAGCGCCACGGACTACAAGAGTAATTCTGAGAGATATGTGAT